GGGGGAGGGCGACTCAGTGTGCAGGGGATGGGGGTTGGGCTTGGTGTGTGGGATCGCCGATGGCGGCTGGGACCGCAGGGCTCGAGCCAAAAAGAGCGGGCCGTGTCAGCGGTTGCAGGCGTGCATGGACGGACCGTGAGCACGCGGCTGCGTGAGCGGGGACGTGATTGTGCCTAGCGGCCCCGGCCCTGGCATGCGCCCCTTCATGGGTGCGCCCTTCCATGCAGTCGATTCGATTGCAGGCATAGATAGGGTTTGATTCTGGAATGCTTGAACCACCTTCACCTTGCCCGGTCCGTTGCAAGGAGCCTTGTAATGCACCGGGGCCGCCCCACATAGCCCAAGCTGCGCCGCGTGGCCCTGTGATGCTCACCAGCCAGAATGGGGGCCTCGAAGTGGCGCCTGAACTCTGACGGCGCCCCCAGCACCCCGGGGTTGGTGAAGTCACACATCGCAAAGAACTGGGCAGGACGGGTGGGGTCAGAGGGGGCGGGGATGAGGCGTCAAGGGTGCCGCCGTGGGGCCGAGGCTTCAGAGCGGCGCGATTCTCGCGATCCAAACATCGGACCACACACGGCGCCTCCGCCCTTGAAGCACTGCACACGTGGCGCAAGGACATCACCCCTGCCTTCCTGCTTTTGCTCCGTCCACTTGCACATGGTGCTGCGGGACGCGCCGTGCAAGCCGATGCATCCCAACCCCTCCCACTGGGAGACCCCCATGCCCCATCCCCCAACTCCCAATCCCTTCAGGCGAATGCCCTCGTACTCTCTCTCCCCCTCTCCCTCTCTCTGTCTCTCTCTGTGTCTCTCTCTTTATCTCTCTCTATGTCACATACACACATGCTCACGTACAACACAAACACACACACACACACACACAACCACAACCACGACCACAACCACAGCCCCCCCCCCACCTCGTCCAGGTGGTTCTGCATGGGCGTCCCCGACAGCAGCACCCTGCGCGCACACTGGATGGCCGCCAGCGCCCTGTTGGTCAGGGTCTGGTCGTTCTTCAGGCGGTGGGCCTGGGGGGGACAGGGGCGGGGGTGTGGGTTTGTGTGTGTGAGGTTCATGTGAACATTGCTGTGCTTGACGAGAGGAGGACGCCGGCTGCGTTTACAGGGGCCCCCGCGCGTGGAAAGGGCAGTGGCGACGGCAGTACATGGCAGGTGAAGGCATGATAGCAGGCCTGTAAGGGGCCCACAAGCAGGGCAGGAGAGAGCGAGTGGCAAGTACAAATCAGGACGTCAGATCATCTAAAATGTGCATTACCTCGTCGCAGATCAGCAGGTCGCATGCGCCCGGCCCCGCGGCCGCCAGCTTGGCCGTGTGGAGGCGGAGGGTCTCGTAGCTTTCATGAAAGGAGATGATTCGCAAAGAGCATGCGTGAGGCAGCAGGGTTTGGAGGAGCTCGCAGTTGACGGTGCTCGGTTGGGTGCAGGGCAGCACGGTCAGAGCGCCGCTGCAAGAGCAACGCCCTGGCAGTGTCATGTCCCCAGGCCAAGGGCCGGCGCTGCCGCGCTACCGGGGCCTGTTGCTGCGACCCGCCCGTACAGGCTGGCGGGGCGCAAGGGATCCTGAGCTCGCACCTGACTATGAGGCAGTCGTAGGGCCGCGACGGCGACAGGAAGCGCCGCAGCCCGTCCGCCACCTCATCGCGCGACGCCTCGCACAGCGCCAGCGTCCTGACAGGCGGCCAGCCGCGCGGGCGGGGGTGAGTCGGACGCCCCGAGCGCGCGGCTCGGCGCCTCAAGAGACGCCGGGGCCGAGCGGCTGACAAACGTGCGCAGGCGTGGCGAGCCCCTAAACTGGCGAGTGCCTCCCCGCCCCGGTCCCTGCCTCACGCCCTGCCGCCCGCACCCTCCGCCGACTCGCCCCCTGCCGGGCCAGGGCGCTCGCGCCCCAAGCCTCCAGCCGTTCCCTTGCCCTCGTGCCCCTGCGGCCGCCCCACCTGACGCGCCCCTTGAGCCACTTGGTGCACTCTGACTCCCAGTTACCCACCAGGCTGGTGGGGCAGCAGATGATGGCGCGGCGCGCAAGGGGGCGGCCACCCAGCGCCTCCGCGCCCTGTGCGTGGAGTGCGGCATGCGGGCGGGGAGGAGGCGTGTCCCTGCGGGGTGGCTGTGCCACACACCTTGCGCCCCTTTGTGGGACGCGCCCCTTTGTGAAGCTGCGGTTCCAGGGGCACCCGAATGGCGGCGCTCCCTCCCATATAAGGCCCCGGACATAAACGCCAACGCAACCTGCTAAGCAGGGCCCCTGCGCTGGCCCTGCCCCCTGGTCCCCCACTGCTGGTCGTGCAAAGCCGCACGTGCCTGCCGCAGCAGCGTCCACATCAGCGCTATGGCCTGCAGGGTCTTGCCCAGCCCCATGTCATCGGCCAGGATGCAGCCTTTGAGGGGGGGGGGTGTACCAGGGTGGGAGCGGCGGGTGGGTGCACGGGGTGTTTGAGCAAAAAGCCGCCGATGAAGGAGCCGGGTGTGGCGACGCAGCGCCAGGTGCTGCGCTGCCGGTATGTGTTAAACACGCCGCTCGACCGCGCCGCCGACGCGCCCGCCGGCCCCGGCTCTGCTCACCCCTGCCTTCCGGAAGGCGCAGCCCCGTCACGCAGTCAAACATGAACTGAGGCGGCGGTAAGGGGGGTGGGGGCAGCAAACGTGCTGTTTGAGGTGCATGTCATATTGCCCCTGCTCAGAATTCGGAGCGCATTCAAGCCGTTTTTCGGCTCAATAGCCTCCTCGCACACCCTCGGTCTCCCCCCAACGCCCCGTACGACACACCTGTGGCTGCCCCGCCACCATGAACCCCATAATCCTGCACCCCCGACCCCACCCCTGCCTCACCGCGACGCCCTCCCTCTGGTGGGGCCTCAGCCACCGCGTCAGCATGCGGTCAACCTCAACCACACCATCCTCCACCCCTGCCCCACCGCCGCCGCCGCCGCCGCCGCCGTTGGCCTCCTCGCCGCCGCCAGGCGCCACACTCGCCGCCACCGCCGCACCATCTGCCGGCTGCTGCTGCTGCTGCTGCTGCTGCTGCTGCTGCTGCTGGGGTTCCCATAGGATCAAGGGCTCTATGCCAGGAGGCAGCGCCTCCTCGCAGCTTGCCAAGTCTGCTGCAGCTGCGGGCGCCGCCGGGCCCTCCGCGTCCGGCAGCGGTGGCACCTCCGGGCTTGGCGGGCGCAGGGGGGCGATCGGCACGAAGGGCTTGCTGGCACCCCAGGGGACAAAGCGGCGGCGCGCGGCCAGCTTCCTCCTCAAGGCCTGATGCGGATGGGTCGGGTCATGGGGGCAATACAACGTTTGAGGCGGGATGAAGCAGCTTCACGCCGAGACTGAACCAGCGGCGCAGGTGCCGTGCAGCCATCCGGATGCAGCCTCTGCTTGCTCGGTGCTTCGAACATTAGCGCGAGCCCCGTTGCAGCACCCAACCACCTCTGAGACGGGCGGCGCATTTGGGTGCGGCGACTTGAAAGGGCGGCGCAGCAGCTGGTCGGCGTCTGTCACCCGCAGCGCGGCCATAAGCGGGGCGCGCGTCACGGCCAGGCACTCGCCGCCCTCCAGCAGCGCCCGGACGTTGGCGGCGCGCTGCTGCTGCTGCGGGCTCGCGGCGGGGCGTGCCAAGTCTGGGCCCGGGGTGCCGATCCGCTTGCAGCCCTCGCCTCTGTCGCCGCCCTCGTCCTCCGCTCCTGCCTGGTCATCCTCGCCACTGCTGCAGCCCGTGCTTTGCCCCGCCTCGTCCTCCTGTTCGGCCCCCACAACGTCGGTGTCCCCGCCGCTGCCGCCCGTCTCATTCAAATCGGACAGCTCTGTCTCCAACACCTCCTCATGTGCAGGCTCGCCGCCTTCCATGATCACTGACTCACTGCACTGCACGGCACGAAGCAGCACCCGACCGGCGCGGCAGCGATTGCTCTCGCCTTGCTGGCTGCCAGCACACGCCGTGCCACGGGGGTCTGGCAGCCCAAGTTGAGTTTCACATGCGCAGTGCAGCCCCTGCGAAGGCACCCTCACAAATGAGCTGGACCCGAAGCCGGATCATCGAGCGCAAGCTGAAATGTTGAGGTTTCTCATGAGCATGGAAATCTTTCAGGAGGTATAAGAATCCAGAGCTGCGGTGTTGAGCCAGCTGAGCGCGCAGTGCCGTAGTGCAATTCAAATCAAAATGCACACAGCTGATTGTTGATCAGGGGTCTGAAAAAGCTGGTCGATACTTTCAAGCATGGCAGCTGAACGAAGTGGCAGGGCAGCGAGACGTCCGCGTGTGCTGCGCGTGCTGTGGTGGTGATGACGGCGGTCCCACCGTGTCTGGCTCAAACCTCCACTGCGTTTTGTTGTGTGTTCTGTTGTACGCCGTGTTCTGCCGTGTTCTAATGTACGCCGTGTTTCGTTGCACGCCGTTGTACGCCGTGTTTGCAGGCAAGTTTCACCGCTTGCGCCGCATCATCATCACGACGACGCGGGAGAACTTTGCCATGGCAGGGTCTCTGTACCTTCCCATCCCCTTGGCCTCAGCCCGCGGCCGCCGACGCGACGGCGGCCGCGTCGCATGCTTTTTGACACCTCAATTATTGGCGTCTTGCTTCAGTACTGTACGAGGCGAGGGGTGCCCGGCGGCGTACGGGGGCCCAGGGGCGGCGCAGCGTACGCGCCCACGCTTGGCACCCCTTGCACCTCGGCCCCTTGCTCCCATGCACGCATACAAAGCTCGTAATTTCCTGCATGAGAGCGATGGAAACCCTGAGACATGCTCGCGATAGGGAGTCGAGGGAGTCGCATTCACGGCAAGCGGCCAAAATGGCGTGCTCCGCCCTGCCCAGCTGCTACATACGCAGCCGCCAGCGCGGCGGAACGCCCATCCTTGCGCGACACCCTGGGGGCCGCTCAGCCGGCGCGGCCGCCCCGATTGCTGTCCCAGCCGCACTGGCGTTGGTGCGGCGGCGCCCTCCTGGTCGCCTGGGGCGCGCGTCCCATGGCAACCGCGGGCGCAGTAGCCCCCCCAGCGCCGGGCACGCTGCCTTTGCTAGTGAGTTGACCTGTATTTTTGTCGCATCCAGCACTTTCTTTTTCGGGTCACCTTGCGAGATTGGGATCCAACCACTGCCAAAGGCACAAGGACACACCAAGAACGAAGAAGTGCAGGACTGCCGGGGTACTCCAGACCCCTTGTGCCGACCAGGACCACCACTGCCTTGGGAGGGGGGGGGCTGGCAACACTCCAACCATCGTCATACAAGGATGATTGCTGTCAAGTGGTGGGGGCAATTCCCTTTTGCCACCTGCTTGCGACTTTGCACAACGGCCGGGTTCGCCCCCGCGACACCACACACCACCCGCGGCCGCTCCGTTGCTTAGCGGGCCAGGGCGCCCCCGCCTTTGGCTTCAACGGCTTGCTTGGCCGCCGTCGCGGCGGCCACGCGAGGGCGGCCGCCGGCGCCGCCGCTGCTTGCAGCGCCGCTCGATTTTTTCTGGCAACGCAATGTCATGGCACCGACCATCACTGATGGTCAGCGCGCCGTTTCACTCCGCAGCGCTGGCAGCCCCCCCGCGGATGTTGGTTCGCTGCTACCTTCTATATGACTGTCCTTTGGCAGCGGCCGTGCCACGGCAACCAAACCCATGAGCATATCCCCTTAGTTGTAACATTCCTGGCGTGTCTTTGGGCAAGATTTGGCGGCATATACAACCACATGCGTACAGAGGCCTGGATGGACAGGGTCTGCACCCAGCCGGGCCCGAGCAGAGTTGAGGCGGTGTCTGAGGCGGGCCGTGTCCAAGCAGGTTCCAGGGTCTGGGGCAGGATTAGGTCAGTTACAAGATCCCGCGGCTGCCCGCTCCTGGAGCCACCCAGGCTCCTGGGATATGACTTGGTAGCATCAGCATTGTGTGACAGGGATTCAAAGGGCCACTTCTCGCCGTTCAAAGCAGGCGTGCACAAAGGCCCCAAGTGTATGCTGTTCCGCACTGCGCACAAGGGCGCGCATGCGGGCATGTGCAGGCAGGTCAGTGAACAAGGCTGCAAAGCGCGGGGCGGCCCGCAGGTCTTCACCAGCGTGGAGAGCTGTGCGTGGAGAGCTGTGGCGGCG